ATTTTGAACTATTTAATTCTAAATTACTGTTACGTGTACATGCATTCATGAAGATTTTATCTCACCTCATCTCTGTGTTAGCTTTAAACTGCAAGTTCATTACACAACTACAGAGAAACATTGCAAACACACCTGTGGGTGCTCCTGACAGACCCACCACCCTGGAGTCTCTGCAGCACACACAAACAGCACTCCCCTTGCTCTGCCACATGTTCACAGTGTCTGTTTCCTTAACATTTGTTGTACAAAACTCCACTAACCAGTCAGCCACCAGGGACCTGCTTTCTTGTTAACACCCTCCTGATGAGAGAGCTCATTGAGAGACTTTTCTTTTCCTACATAGGACGACATTTTTTGGCATTTCCTGTGCTAGGCCTTCATTACATTCTTGTCTGAGGTTTTTATTTTGATTGGCCACAATTATTGTGCCATCTGACATTGCCAGTTCCTTTACATATCTTTTTTTAAAGCTCTTTGTTTTAATAGCCACACATTAGATGATCTCTTATAAATCCTTCTCTGACAATAATCATAAACTTCTACTTACACTAAGTAATATTCTTACAAAAACTTCCATACTTTCCTGGTTCCCCTTAACTCTGATATAATCAACAGCCTTTGCTGTACAAGGTTCATTTAAAGAAATAAGTGTTTTGTGAAGCCTTTTTAAATGGATGAGAGCTATTTTGGTGCCTGCCTTAGTGAAGGTGAATGATTTATGAGCCCTTCAGTCTCTGCACAGTGCATGCCTTACCCAGCCAAGCACTACTTCATGTAAGCTTCATTGTCCAGCCCTTGCAGCACATAAACAAGCAAACTGCCCCCACCATTCAGATCAGATGGAGATACAAACAACTCCTGATCTGTAGTCTCTTGGAGGCCCATGGGCTAATTCTAAGGAGTCCACTAAAGACTAATAAATGCATGCCTATTATGAGCAAGTTTTGTTATCTGCTAAAGTCATCAGCACCATCACAGAAGAATTTAGAGGGATCCACAACTAAACCTGAAAAATCACTCAAATTAAACTGAAACTCTTAGAGTGCTATCTGTAGGATGTCTTCTTGTTATCATTTATGCTTATTCCACAGCTAGTGAATCATACTGACAGGACAAAAATAAAATAAAATAATCACAGACTGAGGACTGAGCCATGCTTAAGACGAGGCAAAGATAGGCACCAGGAATCCGAGCACAACTATGGACACAGCTTCATCCTTCAAGGTCCCTGCTCAAAAGCCACCCAGAGTTGAAGCTGTGTCTCATTCTTTTTACCCCATTCTTCACCCCTAAACCTCCAGATGAGAGCTGCTTAAGTCAACACTGGCAACACTACCGCCAAATCTGTGTCTGTGGCCTCTTCCCAAGTCCAAACAAAGCATCCAAAACCTTCTCCCAGCAATTCAGCCACCTTAAGAGGCAGGAGATCACTGCGGTTTTGTTGGAAAACTTACTTGGGTGCCTAAGTGTTTCTTACTGCAGAGATGGCCAGTGACTTTCCAAAGATGCTATTCTTCCACATAGACTCATTAAAGAAATGCATCCAAATTCCTTCAGTCTCCTCTGAGCACACTGTAAGCAGGAAGCTTAACAGAAAACACTGACATTCCCTTCAGTGGAAAGATGCAGCTCTCTTGCAGACTATCTTCTTACAGGAATGCTCAATGCCAAAGGAATAGATTTCCCTGGACTGCTTAGGCTTTCCCTTCTTTCTTTTCTAAAATCAAAGTAGCATCAACATCAGAAACCATCTTAGGAGCTGTGGACACAATCTTGGATGTTCAGTGGTCCCAGTCCCAAATTACTGTGTCGGTCAGTGGCACCTTTCCAGCAGATGGGAGGTGGGGGTTTGAAGCAGTGCAATGGGCTGCATGCAGATCTCCATCTTCCCAGGTAAGTGCTCCTGGTCAGTAGACTACATAACAGGTGGGTAACAACAGTCCATTCTTCAAAGAGAACAATAGAAAACTGTTTTTTCAGAGCCAGTTTTCAAAGTCCCCATGCCTGAAGGACAACTGGGCACATACATTCAAGGCGAAGTTCCAGCTTCTGGAACTCAAGTTCCCACAGGCACTTGGCACTAAAGGTGGTGAATTTATCCACTCCCACATGCAGCAGAGGGAATCCCAGAGCATCTCTCTCACAACTCTTCTCCAGATGGCTGCTGTGGCCATCACACACTTTGCCAGCTGTGGTGAGTCAGTTTCTTCAGCGTTTAGCTCTCTTCCCTTTGCTCCATGGAGCATGTAAACATTGTGGAGTCTTGTTCTGGAGCCAGGCATCTAACTTGCAGAATTGTGAAATGATTCATTCATGTCCACATTTCATTCAGGTGCTTTATTGTTGGGCTAGATTATTTTTAAAAGTCCCTTCCAACCCAAACCATTCTATGATTCAGTGTAGAGGGAAACCAATGTAAACCCTAAAACTTCTCACCATCTGTCTTACTACTCTGTTCTGGCCTCTGGGACAGCTTATGGACCTCCTAACCAATCTTCTAATACAGTTTTGAGGAAGCAGCACCCAAACAAGTCACAGCAGTTAAGGATCCTTGCATCCTAATAAACAAGTAAGAGACTGGTCCAGCGATGGAGAACTCAAGCAGACCAACTTCAATTCTCTTCTTGGCTACAGACATCTTACACTACTACAGGAAAATCAAACAGGACTAGGGTGGGGTTTTTTTTGAAGAGTCACTTAGATAGGTGAGATAAGACCTTGTCTGATTTTCAAAACTACCTCTTTTTAAAGCTTCAGACTCTGAGGAGGTTGTTTTCTGCTTGATAAAGAATTTACCCAGCTCTCAAAAGCCAGCCATACTCCCTCGCAGCTTTCACCTCCCAGTGTATAGAATGGAGCATTTCTCACAGAAAAGTTGGCAGAAGCACTAACGAAGTTTTAGAAACTTTTTTTAAACATTCTCTTCCTTGTACAGGTGTTTGCATGGCTAAAAACTTCAAAAGGCTTTAAGCCTTTTACTGACACATCTAACCCTCTTGAAGGGTCTCTCAGGCCCCATAGAGAGGATGGTCCGTAGCTCACGTGCAAACTAGAAGAAAGTGCTTGAAGTTTAAGGAGCTGCCAGGTAGTTATCAACCAGGGATCCAAGGGGCTTTTCCGACAGTTGACACCTCAGAAACCCAGCCTGTGACCTCTTCCACCGGGCTTTCCCAAAATACATCCTAATGCTCCTCTCATCAAGGGAAATGAAAGTAGCAGGACCCTGACCACACGGTCTTATGGGAAACATGGTTCAGCTGTGAAATCCAGCCAGTAGTAAAATGAAATGCAGAGCACAAACTACATTTCCCAGGAGACACCATGAGAATATTTTTGGCTAAACTATTCTGGTTTTCAGCCAAAATACTTTGACAAAAGAACTAAACTACCCTGGAAAACTGACACTTTTCTTTAAAAAGCTACTTTGCCAAAAGCCTTCCTACTTCAAAAGAATTCTGGGTCAAGAGTTCTTGGACAGCCCTAAAGATAACTAAACAGAGCTTTAGAAACAGTGTAAAATCACTCAAAAGTAATTAGAAAAAACATCCTTCAACTTAATGTACAATTTATAAATTACACAGTAGATTTCTCCTGCTTCCACAGTGCAATTCACTGCAGACTGCATGACTACACCGTTTAAAATGCCTTTTTGACTTATGAATTTAAGTTAAATATTCTCTTTCATGTATTAATTAAAACAATAATTCCATTTTAACAGATACATCCAAGAATTTTCTGAAAGACAGTCCAAACATTTTAAAAGGAATACTCAGTTTGGAAGCATTACTTCTTGTCTACGACATCTCCATACTTTATTTATGCTGCATCAGTAAAATAATAAAATTTTAGGGATGTCCAGCGAGGTTCAGAGATTAGAAGATCCCAATATAATTTCCATAAGTGAGACCTTTGAATCAGTGTTTGCTTTCTATTATCTGATCACTGTAATGTCTTAAATGATCATGATCATGTAAATGATCATATAAATGTGAAATAGAAAAGATCTCAGCTACAGAGAAGGAAATGACAATAGTTTCCTGCTACATTTTTCAAGTCTTTCAATACCCAAGGACCAAAGTTGTAGTATTTCCAGTCCAGAGGCTCTCTCTGTTCTACCGTATGGCATGTGAAGTTGGGTATTTCAGTTCTCTACGGAGATTTGATTTTGCTAGAAAACAATCCTCCTCCTAAATGTCACTCCCTCTATTGAGCATATATGTATGTATGTATGCACAGAGGTCAGAAAGGATTCACAAAGGGAGTTGTGAGTTCCCAAACTCATGCCTGAAAAGCAGGCGTGTGGCTTTCTGGTTACTGAAGTACGGCTTACTCTCATATTCCAGCTCATTTAGACCAAGATTTTACATCCTTAAATTTCATTAAGCATTCCTACTTGCAACTTTATTTTGTTTTCACTGAGTTTATTCTTAATTACCCAGTGGTGTAATTTTAGCTCTTACTGGTGTTTCTGTCATCTGCTTCATTTCTGCAATGCCAGTCTTCATTCCCTGCTTTGTAGCTGTATTAAAACCTCACTTTTTAAAGTAGAAAATAGCCAGCAGCTTAGAAAGAAAAGTAGAAAGATGGAGAAAAGCAGATAGTATTTCCAAAAGTAAAGTGACATATTGATTATCAGTTACCAGGAATCACAACCCATTAGTGAACTGCAATAATCTCCTATTTTAGGAAAAATTAAAAATTCATATACTGTTTTGTCCTTCCCTGCTCAAAGGAAAGCGAGCTCTTTCAATGGTATTTGTACATCTTAACTACAAACCCCATACTACACTGGAATTCGGTGATCTAATCCACATGGGAGCTCCTCAACAGAAAGGACCAACGTTATCTGATAGAATCAAGCAAGTTCTTACTTCCCTTACCTTTCCCTACCATGTGGGGATCATCAATCATATTCTGCCACTTACAAGGCAGCCCCCGAATAAACAGCCAGGCTTTTTCCTTACTTTCTTCTAAAGAGTGAAAGTATAAAAGTCTCTTACCTTATGGTTGCTGAGAAAATGGGAACTGCCGAACGCTCTGTGCCTGCAGGGACACTGCACAGATGAACCTCATTGCTGCTGTTTACAGAAGTCTGACAGTTTTTAATTTGAAAAGAGGTTGTCTTTTGTTTTTTGGACAGTTCAACAAATCAGACAAAACAGTTGCAAGTGTTATCTGTAAACAGCTTCCTGTTTGAAATAGATCAGCTGTCCTGCAGGACAATAATTAGGAAAGAAGTGTGGGAAAGCTGAAGAGGTTCATGATGTAAGCTTTTTATTTTGGGAATGTACTTTTTTGGGAATGCACTCTTACTCTCCCCTCCTCCTCTCGAGCAGAGAACCCCTTTTTAACCATTTACATCTATTCAGCTCCCAGCCACGCACACACGCTGTCCCAGCACAGCACTTTTCTTACTGTGCTTCAGCAGATATGAAAACACAAGAAATGCAGCACTTAATGTGAGCATCTTCTGTGGACAATTAACACACTCTCCCCTTACTGAAATTCTCTCCATTTTTGCAATTGGCTGTAGCATTCTTGGCTCGTTGAGTAAAACATGTAACTATTTCAGAGCTGAGCCTCAACACTCCACAGTAACAGAAATGCTAAACTATTGAAACTAAAGCTTCCTCACAGAATTTTGGGGTTTGGTTTTGGTTTTTTTTGGTTCTGGATTTTTTTTTCTTAAAGCAGCCACTTTTTGATATAACTTTCTTTGTCAATGGGCAGGGGAAAAAAAGGAAACAGAAATCCTTCCCTATAGCTTCCCAGTATTTGTACAATTCTGGGTTTCATCTCAGATGGCTGGACTGGTTTAAGCCCTGGGTAAACTGCAGCACTCCACCTACATTTGGGCAGGAAAAACTGGGTCCATCCAATTGTGGGATTTTGAGAACACTTCCCTTTCTTTGTTACAGCAGTTTATACTTCGGTATTGCCGGCTTCGCTCTCAATTTCCAGGGGAAATACAGAATACTGCTTATGATTGTGCCAATTAATACCCTCTAATAAAATAGCTGCTATATTTGTAAGGCTGTAGCTCTGATAAATTTCTTCAACAGAAAAAGTCTTGAAAAACACCTGGCCCCACCTCTGCTCATGAAACTGCTCCCCTCTCCCAGTCTCCCCAGCTAGGGTTGGAGGGGTCATGCCGTGAGCGAGCACCCAGCGGGATGGGAGCCTGGGTCACTCCCAGTGTGTGACCTCGGACTGGAACACCAGGAGGGGAAGTAGTGGGAGGTTCCCTTTCCATCTTCTACAGTCCCAAGACCAGAAAAGCATTGGGACACCAAATAGCTTTTAGACTGGGGGACTAGAGGAAGCCATGCCTCCTACTCAGGACTCACTGTGGGCTACCTCCATAAAGGCAGATCTCTCCTAAACCACCGCTTCCACTTCGGGCTGGAACTTAACTACCCTCCTCCGCCACCATCAACTCCTGCATTTTAACACACACCAAACAGTCATGAAAAGAACTTCCAGATCACTTCCAAATTACGTCAGTAAAGAAAGGACAAAATTGCAGAACATGAACATCACTTGTGTAAGGACCACACAGCTCTCACTTGAGAGCTCAGAGTTTTAGGCATACCCAAGCCCCCTTAGTTCAGTGGGAGCAACCAGCGGGATTGGGCCCTTGAAGCACTCTGTTGGCAGCAACTCACCAAGAAAATTGTTTGATGTAAAGAATGCAGCAAAGTGACTGCAGTCCAAGCCTTTGAAGATCGTATTACGATGGCAAGGGCAGTGTCCATTTACATACATATCTACTCTCCCTGTAAACACAGGCAAATAACTGAGGCCAGGAACAGAATTCAAGGGAGAAATACAGCCACTTCAGGGAAAGTTAGTAGAAAAGGTAGGATTAAACACTGGGGAAACAGGAGTGAAAAATAAACATAAATGACCAGAGTTCAAAAGAAAAGGGCAAACACCATAAATGCAGTAAAAGTGTTTTATCTAGGAAAGGGGAAAAATAAGCAAATATGTAGTTTTCTGTCACCTAAGAGAGATAAAAGGGGGCAGCCTCCTTACAGAAAGGCATGAGCATCCTTCCCCCACCCAGAAAGCCAACTAGAAGCTGCATAGTCACATCGGTGCATCATCTAACTCAGGCTGCAAGCTGCAAACTGGGGTACTGGGGCATGGACTGCACGCGAGCAGCTTAAGCCATCAGCAGGTCACAGCAGCTGCTGGCTATTAAGCTAAATCTTTGCATTATGTCAATATGTGAAGAGACAATTCCCAAGTCTTTCAGCCACCCGCGCTGGATGGAGCAGGACAGCCTTCAGAGGGTAGGGGTATTCAGCAAGACACACCAGCTAGACCAGCTACCTCATCTTGACCCACCATCCAACATACACCCAGTCTTTAAGCTGAGGTTAAGCACCATATTGAAACAATTCTAGGTAGAAATCTTGGATTGAAACCAAGCAAAACCACATAGACAAAAGCAAGTTGGTTGCAAAAGGGCAAGAACAAGTCTCCTTGGAAGAAAAGGAAAAATTATGTTTATACATTTCAGGAGTCTTCAGGCAAATTCTTCCACTCTTTCCATAGTCAGTTGGCATTATCTTTGTGTCTGTGAGAGGATTAAACATAATACCTATTTTAAAGCGCAACTGCTATTTAAAAATGTGGCTGTTACAATAAGATGACAAGACTCTCATTCTCCCCTTGGTTTGCAATAATCTCCAATGGCATCAGCAACATTCCCAAGCAGATTTTTTAAGGGGATGAAAATTGGCAATACCCAAACTCCTCAATAAATCAGTATCTGAGCTCAATTGCTGGAGCTCAACTTATCAGAGGCCACCACATATGCTGTTCCAGTTCTTGCGAGTTAATGGCTGCCTTGCCAACCAGCCCTTAGTAACTTCCCCAAGGCAGACTCCCGAAAGAGGCAAGGAGATGCAGCAGGGTACGGGTCTGTGCTCCGGCATGCCAAGTGCATCCTCTCCTCTGCTCCCAAGACAACCTAATGATTTGTCCCATTCCCCTTGGCTTCACCTGATAGTAACTGTAAGGAATTGTTTAGCCAAGAAAATGAGAAACAACTTTATGAAAAACCAAGATACAGCCTGCATCTAAGCTACCCTACCACCTCTCCTGTGCAATACATGGGCTGTCTGGTGGGAAAGGTCAGTGCAGAAACAGCAATACAGGTTTAACTTTGGCTGCAGCTGTGTGAAATCCAGCCATCAGCTTCATTAATGCTGTTGCACTAACCTTGGGTTTGTTTTTTGTTTTTTGCATAAAATTTCTGAGCAGCATTGACTGCAGCAGTAGTACAGAAACTGCTGCTTCTTCTGTACCTCCTCATCTCTAGAACTGGTGTAAAATCTTCAGTGCCTGGCTTTAATTCTATCTTTGCTGCTCCAGGGGCAGATCAAACCTGAGCCAGACGTGTCAGCATAATATCCAATATGAGAAACATTAGCCATTAATCATTTAGCAACACCTAGCAGCAACTGCTCCTTCCTAAGCTTAAGAATTATTTTCCTGGAAAAAAAGAAAGAGTAACTGTAACTGGAGGGTAGAGGAGGGGACGCCTGAACTTGCAAACTGTAACAAATCCAACAAACTTTCTCCTCTTAATCACAAGACATAAGTAAGAACCTTTACACGCCGCTCTCGGCGGGGAACAGAGCGCCACTACAAAGGGATGCCCGTGTCACCTCTTTCCCTTGCTCTCAGCAGAAGGCAGGTTTTTCAGGCGAGCGGCACAGCAAAGCGCTTCGTTATAACGGGGTCAACCACCGGCGCTGATCAATGTCACCCTCGGGCCCGCACGGGGGACAGGAAAACTCACAGCTCCCCCAGCCCAACCGCAAGCCTTCTTTTTATGAGACTTCATGACTTTCTCTAATCAATATCTTTTTTTTTTTTTCCTCCTGTCATTCTGATACACCTCGAGAGACCTGGAAATCGCATCCCACAAAGAGGAAAAGGTCTATCTTTTTTGGCATTGCTCTAGCTTTTAGACACAACGGAGAATCAAACTCAGGCCTCCCACTTAGAAAATTTAGGAACAGAGAAGACAGAGGAAATAGGTTGTTTCAGTCTATAATGCTGGAGTGATAGGATTTCCCTTTAACACCGCTCAGCCAAATGCTCCTACTTCCACTCAAGAGGGACTAATCAGACATGATGTTATCATGCATCGAATTATCATATTCATACAAGAAAGGTCAAGCACTTACCACCCAAAACTTCAAGCAAGTTCTGCCACAGGAGAACTGTAGCACATCTACACACCTTTTCAAAGGGAAATCAACAGGGAGCAGCTTTCCTCCCAGACAAAAATATTTGAAGACATTTGTGAAAGGATTCGTAAGGAATAAAGAATGAAAGCTCTAATATCAGGTGCAAGTCTCAAGAGCATCCAACAGATGTAGAGCCCCTGCTTCTCATTTTGGGTTACTACAGGAAAGAATATGTCCTTTCATACTCCTCAGTATGTGATTGTCTCTTCACACTGACACTACCCATGCACAGGTCTAGGTACGGAGCACCCCACCACTTTTTTGCAGACCAGCTGATAGAACTCCCGAGGAATCACATGGTCAGAGCTCAACTGCACCAGTGTATGAAAGGTATAGGAAGCGTCTAGCATCATCTCCTACAGAGCCTGCTTAGGTTAAGGTAACATTTGACACCAGTAATCCTGCAGCCTCATTAGCACTTGACCAGATGGCATCAACCGACTTTCCAGATTGCAGGCATTCACTTGATACGCTTGTCAAGGGACAGAGGGAGTTGTCTGACTGTTTCACTGACACTCACACACAAGGGAGCCCGTGAACAAAGGTAAACTAGGACTAAAGCCTTTTGCAAAGCTCACAGCATGGTAATTTTATGCCACAAAAATCCACCTTTACTTGCAGCTTAGTTGATGTAAGAAACATAACTGGCTTTGACAGCGTTATCCTTTCACTCAAAGAATTTGCTTATGGGGCCATCACGGGCCTTTGCGTTTCATATAGTTCAAAGGGCTTGCAACAAGAGCCAAGAAAAATCTATAGCCAGCTGGCAATGCCTGGGAACATTTGCAATCTTCACATTCAGTTTACTAGACTTCTCCTCCCGCCACCCCACCCCCCCTAAGCGCTTCCAAACGAGAAACACCACTGACATTTTTATTACTATGAAGAGATCAAACCTGAGTTGCGTTTCAGCATGAAACGGGAGATGCGGTGGGCTGAAGCCTGCTGTCTGAGCATCACCTCTTCCTGCAGATGTTACACAGCC